CTGTCCATAAATCCATTTCAATGCTCATAACGTTCTTTCCTTTTTGAGAAGATCTTTGTCTTGGAATAAAGCCGTTGGTAATTAATGTGTCTTGAATGCATAGTAACGTTGACACTTCAGAGTGTTCTGCTAATGATAATCAGAGTGTTCTTGGCTTTAGCTTATTCAGACGCTTCTGAGTGCTGATGACATGGTTAGGATCTTGAGCAGAGTCGGAGTATGTTATGCGCAGATTCTGTTCATCAGGCTTCAGCGTATAGCACATGTTATTTGATCTTCTGATACTGACATATCTTCTGATGCTGATGTTGATACTGATATTCTGATGCTGATTCCATCAGAGTTTCTGCAAATACATAACATAATTTTAAGTAGCATCTATGTCTTATATAAATCTCATAATTCATTTAATCTTGTATTTTGTTATCATCAAAACTCTAACTGAGGGTTGTAGAATCAAACTATGTTCTAACATATATGTCCGGAGGAAATGACATATAACAGGAAAGAGGCCGGAGAAAAGGAATCTAACCAAAGATATCATAACTATACGTCCGGAGGAAATGACATATACGAAAGAGATAGGAAGAAAGGACTCTTTACAGAGCCATCATAAGTACATGTCCGGAGGAAAGGACACATACATAAGAGATATCGAATATACATGTCCAGAGGAAAGGACACATATAAAAGAGGCCGAAAGAAATGACTCTTACAAAGGCTATCATAACTATACGTCCGGAGGAAAGGACATATACGAAAGAGACCAAAAGAAATGACTCTATCGAAGATACCACAAATATATGTTCAGAGTTAGTAGAAAACATAAGACAAAGACTAACTGCCGATAACCCTATCAATGACATCAACAATACATGTCCGTAAGAAAGGACACGTACGAAAGATATCGAATATATATGTCTAGAGGAAAGGACACATAACAAGAAAGATACCAGAGGAAAGGACTCTAACCAAAAATATCAGGAATATATATTCGACGGAAAATATATATAATAGGAAAGAGACCAGAAGAAATGAATCACTACAAAGATACCACAACTATATGTTCGGAGGAAAGAACATATACGAGAGAGACTGGAAGAACGAACTCTATCGAGGATGACAAATATGCATGTCCGGAGTTGGTAACAGACATATTAGAAAATATTGGGAATATGCAGGGTAAAATTGGACATATACAAACAAAGAAGAGACCAACCGAAGAAGGATCCAACAAGGAATGCTAACTGCAGATAGACCCTGGAGAAAGAACATCGATCAAAGGCGAACTTACTAGGGATAAGATATACATGTATGGCCAGAGTTAGACACATATAGGAAAGAGGATGGACAAGGCATACTCTAACAAAGTACACCTGAACAAAGGCGAACCTAGAATGACAAGGAGACTAGCCGAAAGTAGATCCTTGAAGAAAGAACACTAACCAGAAAGCAAATTTATCGGGGATTCAGGTTCATATTAAACCCAAATTGAATGTTGGTCGAAGGAGAAGTTGCAAATGGAAAAGAGACCAACAGCAAAGACTCTAAACAAGGATTACCGAAACACAATAGACTTTAAGAGGTTGAAAATGCACAAGAACTATAATGTCCCTCAGGCCAATGGTGGGGTGTAATTCTTAAGAGTGGCATTATCTGAATTAACACACACCAAGTATGGATACTCAAATACTTGAGAAATAAGAAAGGTTATACACCGACTCTTACTCGCACTCTAACGGCAAAGCGAACATGGGTAAAATAACAGAGGACTTTCAAGGGCAAGGAAAATATATGACTTATTTAGGAAAAAGGGAAATACCAAAGACCCAACTGGTGGTAAACCAAAATAGACTCTGATGGGGAAATAGGATAGGATCACCTTAAAAGCAAGATTTGGAGGTAATTCAAATCTTAGCACATAACACTCTGGTTACTTCCAAAGTAAAGATAACTGGATTATACATCTTGCACGTTTGAAGTTTTTTTATAGATGCAATATAATGATGCATGTTTAGCGATGTACTGGGGAAAACACGACAATAATCAACTGTTGAGAAGACAAGGAACTTCTGAATGACTATCCTCGCACATATAATCTTATGTAGAGAATAATCAATATGAACTTCGTTGGGAGATTACAAATCTGAAACAACAACTTCTGAGGGTCGATATCATTGGGGAAGTAAATTCTTGGGAAGCATAATGAAAAAATAAATTGCAGTCTAGAGAAAATCTTGAACTCTGATCAAACTCTCAACTTCCCGGGGAACAAATTCCTTGCCTCTTGTAAGGATGAGGAGAACTTAGAAGGGAATGGAAACTTTCTCATGCAAAGTTTCTTGACAAAGATAACTACTACTGGCGAATCAGAGAAGTTCTTAAATAAAAAGAATTCAACTCAAACCACATTGGGGACATTACTGTCGGGATACAATTCTTCACACTGGGAAGAGGAAAGATATATTGATCCCAAAAACTTGAGATTCAAAACTCTATTGGGGAATATCTCAACAATATTCTATCACTGGGGATAAAAAGAGTTCCTACCAGCACTCCCATGTATGCACCATACCGGGGATACATGATTTTGTATAATATTCATCATCACCAGGCTTTACTGGGGAAAGGAAACTTACTTCACTAGGGATAAGAGGAAAATCGGTCAAAATAATCCTCGACACTCGGCTCCAACCAGGGAGAAAACTACAACTTCCACTGCGAATCAGAAGAGCTCTTGGTAGCAATATCAACGGTACCAGTTACACTGGGAAAGCCCTCCTTGCAAGATCCATACTAACATGGAATCGCATTGGGAGAAAAATTATTCCATCGTGCATAAAAGTCGTCTTCATAGGGATACAAACCAGAATCTCCCATAGGTAAACAGAAATCCTCAAAAACTATGACATAGGCAGACCGTACCAGAGAGAAAAGGTGAAAACTTCATTGAGGAGGAGAATGCACTTCATGGGGAAGACGAATGCCAAACTTACTAAGGAAGCATAATGTCGACTTCAAGGTGAGAACGAGTGCCAACCGCACCGAGGAGGAAAATGTCAACTTCACGGGGATATATCAAGAGCATTGAGTCAACAAAAGAAAAGGATTCCCTCAAGAAGCCTTGAAATGGATAGATTGTGCTGGGGAAAAAGAATTGCACAGAATCCTATGATGATTGCAACTTTGCCCCAGCAGGGGTGCACACTATTGTACCCTAATTTTCCCATAAGATTTATCTATCATATCATATCAACTCAATCATAACAAGATCACACTAGGGTTTGGTTCTTCTCCTTATCTTTAACTTTGCTCCCGAGAGATCACCAAGCACCTTGAATCATGTGCTTCATATATATGTATTTTATATTTTACTGACTTCTAACCAAAATTCCAAAATATGTTTTGTTTGTTTTGTGTCTTGAAAGACCGGGTTTGCGACCAAGAAATTCAGGTGATGGCTCTCTGGTTAGGGTTTTGGCTTATTCAAGCCCAAAATAGTTCCCAAAAGCCTATGGCTTAGGGTGGTGATCTATAATCTTAAGTCACGTTATCCTCAAGTTTCATTCAACATAGTTAAGGCGAGTCTGGTTGTTTAATTCTCAAGATTCTTCGAGATAGGTTCATGTATTTATTTTCATGCCTTCTTCGACGCCTCAAGTTCATATGTGATTAATAGTATCTTGGGATGTGAAAAAAATCAAGTTGGCAAGTTGATTTGAAGTTGTCGGATCAAAAGTCAATGTTTTCCAGTTTGAGTTCGAATGATCATAACTTCCTTATTATTCAATATTTTTGAGCGATTCTTCGAGCATATGAATCTCCTTGACGTCATCTCCAACTTCTCTTTACAAGTCAAGAGCTAATGATGTGAGGAATAACTTTGCTTCAGAAGGTTTCTCAAAATGACTTCAGCTGTTGCACGTAAATTTCGCCCCTAATTTTTTAGTCGCATTATTATAACATACTTTGTCATTTGGTCACAATCATTAATAAATATCTTCATTCATCACATTTGCATTGTTTAGTCGTGTTTAGGTTGACGAATAGTCAGTTTAAATCAACATTTGCATTGTTTTTTAGTTAAAAATACCTGATATTTCACTTCATGCATTTTTATTTCTATACTCGTTTCTAGCATTGCTCCAAGTTGTTTATGTGTTGATAATATTAGTATTTCGGTTTTACAGACAGATCGTTAAAAATGATTTGATACTGTGCGGAAAATTAGCGAGAAAATATTTCAAGTTTTCATCTTTTACTGATCATTTTATGAATCTGTGTTTCACATAGATCATGACGGTATGCTCGCTTTATTTTTCGGTACAATTTGAAGTCTCGTTTTTAATCGTAAACGTTTGTTCAGCCTGATATTTTTATTCTCGGTTTATTACGATTTTAACAATTTGGTTAATTTTTTAATAATCTTTGTGACATGTAGTTTATTTTAATGTTTACATTTCATTTTTTCGGTACATTCTAAAGTCTCGTTTTTAATCGTAAACGTTTGTTCAGCTTGATATTTTATTCTCATTTTATTTTGATTTTAACCATTTGGTTATTTTTTTATTAATCTTTGTGATATATAGTTTATTTTAATGTGTTCATTTTATTTTTTCGGTACAGTATGAAGTCTCGTTTTTAATCGTAAATGTTTGTTCAACCTGATATTTTTATTCTCATTTTATTTTAATTTTGATCATTTAAGTAATTTTTCATTAATCTTTAAGACATGTAGTTTATTTTGATGTGTTAATTTTTTTTTTTTTATATATTTTTGTCCACTTTTTTTTTATCACTTTTGATCATTTTGAGTCTCTATTTATTTATTTTTTTTAAATTTAAAAAAATTATTTAAAATTATATTAATTTTTATACTTTTGATTTTTGACGTCATCTTTATTAATAGGGACTTTTTGGTCACTTAGAAAATTAGTTAATCCAATAATTTTATGTTATAAATAGAGTATGTAAATTTCATGAGAAGCTAGCAGAGATTGAAAAAACGAAAACGTAGAAACCCAATTCTCTTCTTCTTCTTGGTAAATCCATTCTCTATTCTTCATCCTCACATCATACGAATCCCTCCAGATCGATTTTCAGCTACTATTCCAACCATCAACAACCTACTACCAACATTCCTTCTCCATTCATCACCCATCATCTTCATACACCGTAATCATCTCTCAATCACCACCGTCATCAACTGTCCGCGCTGCGATTCTCTCCAACCTCTCCTTCATCCGCCGGAAATACCGCTTATCCGATCCATCACCCTCCTTGTTCTGTTTCCGAAGACCATCACTCCATCCGCGAAATCGTACCACAACCATCGCTACCTATTCACTTTCCAAGCACATCCTTCATCATCACTGTACAGCAACATACACCTCCTTAGTTTTTGTTTTTAATTTGGATTCAACTTCATTTTATCATTTAGTTTTAATCTTTAATTACAAAAACCATGTAAATATAGATATATAAAAATATGTTGTAATTAGTATATATTATGTCTAGTATTTAATTTTCTTTTTGTATATAGTTTTTTTAGTTTAGTTTCTTTTATTTGTTAATAATGAACATGTGTTATTAAAGACTCGGTCGAGCTTTGGCTTATATTAGTGTAAATAAATTTAAATTGTGTTGTTGATTTTCTATTGCATTGCGATTTTAAAGTTAATTTTAATTTAGCTCTTGAATGCGCATGGATGTATAGACTTTATTGATCGATCTTAAAATAGATGTGACTTCTATTTAAGTCCATTTACGATTGCTTAACATAGCGTTAAATTTTGTCCCGATTCGAGAAATGATTATTCGTGGCCCAAACCCATGTTTGTAAGCCCAAGTATGTTAATTTGAATCATTTGATCCGATAACCTTGAGATTCATTGTTAGGAGGCTTTGATCTTATCAATCCTCTAATGAATCTCCATAGCTTTGGTCAAAGTGAATCACTTAAACATCATTGATCATTTATTGTCGCTTCGAAAAGTTTAAAATAAATGATATACTTGACAAAAAGAAAATGAAACTTGTTGTTGAAAGACTTTGATTTTATCAATCTTCTAATGAGTTTCAAATGCAAGTTTCAAGATTGTCATTCAACTAACCTCTAATTTCTAACAATTGACTTTATTTTGTGCTTTTACTTTATGCTTTTTACTTTAAGCACATTTATTTTAGCATTTACATTTCATGCTATTTTTATCTTTGCTCAATTGATCATTTATTTTTATATAATTTTCTTTATTTTCCTCATTTGAGCTTTCATTTTCTTTTTGAAGATACTTAAAAGTCAACTTGAACCATAAAAAACTTTAATGTTACTTGGACTACTTGGTTACTATCCTTGATATTATGGAGATTGTGGACTTCTTGAACTTAGGAGTAGAGACCTTGACCACTCTTGGGACCTTGTGACCTCAACTGTTCTTTTGTTTGGAGTTCTTGGGGTTTATCCCAAGACATTGGGTTATTTGTTTGCTTTGTGTGCAGGTTATTGTGATTATATACTTTGTCTGTGATCAGGAATTTATCTGTATACAGCCGTTACTCTGTCCAATTTTTGTGAAGACTTAATGCAATTGAAGTTTGATTTTCTTAAGAGGATTATTATCTTTGCTTGTTTGGTTTCAAATCCAAATGATGGAAATTCTACATTGACTCAATATGTCAAGTGTTGGCTTCTTGTTGGTTAGACGGTTCTTTTTCCTAGATTTTACCTTATGCTTTAGGATAGTCTCTTCATCTCCTTCCACCTTCTTTAATTTCAAAAATCTTCTCTCTCCTTTTGAAAACTCTTCTTGTTTTTAAAACTTGAACCACTTTCACAAATAAACTTGGAATTATGTCCATGCATTTTCAAAAATATTTTCTTAATCAAACTTTAATCAACTTAATAATACTTTGACATTTTTGTGAGAAGACAAAAAGTTAATCAATCTCATTCAAACCATTTTGCCACTTTGGCCTTTTACCTTAAAACTTTTTCTCAAAAGATTAGACTCTTGTCAATCTTTATAGTGATGCGAGTGTTGGCTGAAGATTTTGATCATATTGTTCGAAGCAAAGCAAGTTGGATGTTTCGATTGGAATAAAGCAAGATGTCATGTTTCGAAATGGTAGAAGCAGTGCTTTGAATGGGCATATCAAAGCTTGGAGCTTCGAGTGACAGTTATGAGGATATCTTCAAAAGAAGTCTCGAAGTGATAACAAGGCTGTGTCCAAGAAATGCGTTCGAAGCGAAGAAGTGCTAAAACATTTGAAATTCAAATGCAAGCGGGATGTTCGAAATTTAAAATATATGCGCTGGAGCATTCGAAGACGCGTGGAAGCTAGAGAGAGGCATTGCTTTGCATGTTCTGAACGTGGCAGAATCTTATAGCAAGACCGTTATGGTCGAAGTAGTATAAATAGAAGTCTTAGCATTAGGATTTCGTGTGTCATATCTATTGTACAAAAAACTCAGTAAACATTCAAAATACCACATGGCTAGGGAAACGAATGCACGAGCAATGTACGTATGATAACACCAAGTGTTTATGATTTAATAAAACTCTTTATCATTTCCAGTATTTTCCTCTATCTTCATGTCAATACCATTCAAAAGCCTTTGCATTAAAATATTTTCATTCGAAGTCTTTTTACTGATGCCTTACATTTAAATGTTTTCTTTCCATTTCAAATACTTTACATTTCAGAAACTTTAGTACATTTCATGCCTTTATCTTCAAGCTTTTATCATTCGAACACTTTTTTTTCACTTAAAGTCATTTTACTGTTTTCTTGCATTTAAACGCTTTCTTCATATTTCGAATCTTTCATTCCAGAGAATCTTTTACATTCCAGAGAATCTTTTACATTACATGTTTTTATGCTTCGAAGTCATTTACTTGTCTTTTATGCAGTTTTATATGTCTTTACAATTGAACTTTATTCATGCAATTTAGTTTCGCGCGCATTTACTTGATCAAGTTATTAGATCTTTAATAGAGTAATCGAAGTAAGTTAAACACCTACACAACATTCTAAATACCAACCATGAATACCAGTTCTATAATGAGAGTTATCCAAATGACCAATACATCCTAGGATCAATCTAGTCGATCATGCGAGTTACCAGAGAGATTGAATAACAATCATTAAGATTATTTGATAGTTTGGAGGGCTAGCGGTTGTTTACCAGAAATCACTGTAAACAACTTGGCACACCCGGTGGGACGAGTCATTGGCCATTACGAAATTTAGAACAAAATAAAAAATTGTTGAGACGTAACCATTGTAAAAATACTCTCTGAGCGATAAGTTTGTTGTTTTATGAACCTTAGAAGTGGTAGAATAACCAATAGCAACCAACCCTTATCCAGAAGAAAACGTTTGAACAAGATGTCTAATTCTGACAATCAACAAGGGGAACAAAATGTCCCACATACAACAGGCACTAATATGTCCGCCTCGATGGGAACATCTAATGTGATCCCTTCGAATGCACAGTCTGTTGCATCCTCTACCAGTAATATAGCCACTAATGGAATAAGTGGCATATCAACTAATAGTTCGATCCTAGAAAATACTGGAACCATTGGCTATCCTGGGGGATTCGTCCCACCATCAGGGACACAAACCCATTTCGCCACCCCACTAACTAGACCACCCGGTTTCGATGGTAATAGAACCAGAAATTCCTCTTATGGAATTCCAACATCTTTTATGACAGGCTTACACAATTCCACATTGAATTCATCACCACAATTAGGGTCTGGGTCTGGGGAAAATCAGTTTATGACAAATAACCAAGGGTCAGTGGGTTATAGTGCAATGCCTATCTTAACCACAGAAAACCAGTTGGCTTTTAGGCAATTGATGGATGACAGTAACCATAATATGATAGGAGTGTTAGCACAAACTATGCAGGAAATCTTTGCCCCAATAGTATAAAATGTAACTGTGACAAACAGAGAAAACGCAGATAACATGAGTCGAATAGCAGATTTCTTCGCTCCCCCAGAGAGGCGTAGGCAGAATCAGGCGGGAGTTCGAGCGAACGTACCTATTATAGAACAAGTTGCTAACGACCCACCCTATAGACCAGCCAAAGAGGAGGTTAATTTAGGGGCAAGGGCACAAAGGCTAGAAGTCCCAATGATCCAAGGCCCACAAAGGGAAATTATGGAACCAGGGGCAAGGGTCGAAAGGCTAGAAGTCCCAGAGTTTCGAGAAGAACAACCTAGAGGGGTTGTCATGGTGGGTCGAAATCAAGATGCTGATGCAGTCGTTCATAGAATTCGAAACGATAACATCTTGGCAGAAAATAATTTAACCACCATGATAGAGAGAATCATGGCCCAGAATGGCCTCAACACAGGAATTAGAAGGACAAATTATGCCTCCCCTATATTAGATTACATAATGCACACTGATTTACCAAGGGGATATAAAGTCCCTAAGTTTACAAAGTTTGTTGGGGATACCAATGAGTCAACAGCCGAACATATATCCAGGTATCTAACCGAAGCAGGAGATATAGCCAATAATGAAGACCTTAGGATCAAATATTTCCCGAGTTCCCTGACTAAGAACGCTTTCACATGGTTCACCACTTTGCCTCCTGGGTCCATTGATACTTGGGCTCTTTTGGAGAGATTATTCCATGAACAGTTCTACATGGGACAATCAAAAATCAGTCTGAAGGAACTAGCCAGTGTCAAGAGGAAGTTCACTGAACCCATAGATGATTATTTGAATAGATTCAGGCTCTTGAAATCTAGATGTTTTACAGTAGTGCCTGAACATGAGTTAGTCGAAATGGCCGCTGGCGGCTTGGATTACTCTATTCGAAAGAAATTAGACACTCAATACTTGAGGGATATGGCTCAATTAGCCGATAGGGTTCGACAGGTCGAAAGGCTAAAGGCCGAAAAGGCCAGAGTCTTTAAAAATAACAAAAAGGAAAGGATCTCCTATGTTGGAACTGAGGAAGCAGAAGATTATCCTGAATTCGAATTCGAAGAGGTCGAAATCGACCTCGCTGAATTAAAACAGGCACCACCTTACTCCTGCAAATTATTAGTTCCCACAAAAGGGAAATAAATTGTTGAAAATGAGAAAAGTGACAAATTCCCAAAGAAGGTTTATACCTTCGATGTCACTAAGTGCGACGAGATTTTTGATTTACTTGTCAAAGATGGCCAACTCATTGTGCCATCAAATGTCAAAATACCTCCTTTAGATCAAAGAAAGAAAAGAGGATTTTGCAAGTATCATAGTTTCCTAGGCCACAAAACCTCACAGTGTTTTCTTTTCAGGGACCTAATTCAGAATGCAATTAAAGATGGCAGACTGAAGTTTACTGATAAAGCAAAAATGAAAGTAGACGAAGATCCTTTGGACGTCGCAGACACCAATTACT